GTCACTTCATCTGCTTGATGATGTCACTTCATCCGTCTGATGTGCCTATAATTCATATTTACATATCATTTACTCTTTGTACTCATATGCTGCATCAAGGGAGGCCCATATCAGTTGCCATATAAAAACCTTTCTGAAGCTCTCTAAATAGCATAGTTATTTCATTAACTTGAAGCTTAATAAGTTTTCTCCACTTTTTTCTTTCATGTCTTATGTACAGGGACAAAATGGCTATCGACTAAATAAAATGTGACGTTATTTGGTTTGTAAATTTTTTCCTGATACATTTGACTTGATATTCATTTTAAGTGGCCTTTGGTTTTTTAGTCATTTGATATAGTTCATTGTTAAATGTCATTCTAATAATGGAAATACTAAACTATGACAGGTTTCAAAGAATATTTCAAATACTAAGTCTGGAGGTAACAGCTTTATTACTGCTTGATGACTTGACCCATATTTCCTAACATGATTTCCCTGCTGTAACTTAAAGTGAGTTCATGTAAGTCTAATGATATCAGTTGACCTTGAGAGTAAAACCCAAAAGCCTGTGGGGGTTTTTAGTTTCTTGCACTGTTGTTAAACATTATCCTTTTTTTAAATGAAGTATTTAATATACTAAAATATATGTGTACGATTTATTTCAAACAACCAATATTTTTCTAGTTACTTATGAATCTCTAAATAGTGTGTTTTACAATACAGATGCATAGTGCAAGAATTAAACAGCATCAAAACACAATTGTGATAATACCTTCTATAACACACATGGTGTTGGTAAATTGAAAGGCTGTGTGATAATGGTTATCAGACACCTTTGGCCAACTCACCATCACTAATCAGTCTCATCTGGGACTACTTCAAACATTCAAACCCCTCCAGACTTTTATTTTTAAACAACTTGCCTGTTTCCTCCTGTCTCATAAATGTGGAATTTCCCACAGAATTACATTGGCCTAGGAACAATTTAGGAATAGTGACAAGTTTAAAGTCAGATATCTATCTTGAAACCCATCAGACCAGAAACGTGAAATTTTATACCAGCCAGTGTGATGGGGACATTGCCAGCTTTCCAGTGCGTAAACCACTGGCTTTTAGCTCTGAGATGCCCAATCTTAAAACTTGCTTTGAGTCCTTTAAGAGCAAAACCTTAAAAACACCACATTATTCTGCATAGAAAATCTATTCTAATCATGTTTTAGAGGTTTCTAAAATGTATTTCAGAAAATCTTTATCATTCTGAACCCTACATCATTGGGCTAAGGGCATTAAGAGAACCTGACCTTACAAGTGGAGGGATATAAAAATTTTGAAAACTCCTTCAAACAGTTTCTAAAATGTTTTTTTCCGTAAAGGATGTGGAATGCATAGAATATGTGACTGTATGGTATAAAGACTTTACCAACACTGTTGATGTATTTGAATAATTTTCATGTGACTTTACCACTTGTAAGTAATGTGGCCGTCCCAAGTTGATGTCGATACAACCTTCATGCCACACCATCATGCCTTCTCTGTTTCCCATGGTGTGGCTGCCACTGATACAGACAAATAAGCACGTTTCCAGTAACTCTAGGTGTGGCAGTCCCTAGCCAGGCACCTCTGAGCTTGCTGCATCAGTTATGAATGTTAAAAAAAATGCTTGAACCCGGTCACCTCTTTCAGTACAAATTAAGCACTGTCCGTTTCTATCCTCAGTGCATCAGATGGTGATACACAGTCAGGATACAGACATTTTCATGTCCACTCCAGCTCCTTCTCACCTCCATGCAGCCAAACTCCTCAGTTGATTCTTGCCTGTGTTGAAGAAGCAGCAGGTGCCTCATACTGAGGTGGCATCTTGAACCTTTTCAACCTCCTTCATTCTTCAGCTGGGAAAGAAAAAGAAGCTAGCCAGGAACTCACTGCAACTCCACTCTCCAGCACTTTGTTGTGGGCATTGTATGAACATGGGGCACTGGCTCCTCTTCGCAGATGGTCACTGGTTCACCTGAGGCAGGGCTGATAAAGGGCACTTTCACTGTGCTTCAGACACTTGTCACAGGGCTGGACAAATCTCTTAGCTGCTACGCCCCCGAGGTAGAAGAAAGAGGAGGAAAGCAGTGTCAAGGAGGAGATTGTCCAGAGGATCCTTTTACCCTTTCTGTGCCCCCACTTGGAAAAAAATTGGTTCCAGAGGCCATTGCCTGTATCAGCTAGGCATATGGAGCTTCCTTCATAGGTCGCCTTTTCTCTTCTTCACCTAAAATCTCCCTAACTGAGGGCTCTTTTCAGCTCTCTGTCTCACCTGTCTACTTCTGATCTTATCCCAAGACTTCTCTGTCATGGGTGGCAGAAAGGTGCTGTCTCTTTTGCCTCTTAAAATGGGATAAACCGGTTAAGGAAGTTTTTGAGCTGAGGTTATTGCTAGTCAAACCTATTTGTGTAAGGCAGTGACAGTCACACCATGGGAGTGGACAGAAATGGAAAAAACATTTGGAACCTTTCAAATGTTTAATTTGTGTTGCAAAAAACAGTTCAGTTGTTTTGACTATCCTGATGGTTTTCTGGTATGTGTAATAGCATACCAACAGAGAAGTTAGATAAAATACTCTTTATGGAAGGTTGCAATGTAACACTACTTTTTTTCTTAGAATTCAGAATGGTGAAACACAAAGCAGGTTGCTCCCTAAAACAGAGGCATAACTTGCCCCACCTTACTCTAGGCTTTTTGTTTGCTGCTTTTATGCTTCCCTACAGAGCTCCCTAGCCTGCAAGCAGGACCAGGAAACCCCTGAGCATTAAAATACTAGCTCTACAATTTTAATACATTTTCTGCACATCACATTTTCCAGGGCATGACCACAGAGGTACAGATGCCCACAAAACTGTCTAATCAGATGTATAGCTTGGGCTGAGTGACTGAAATTAGGAAGTCAAGGCAGACTAACCTATATTATACAGACTTTGCAGTCATCAGCTGGGGAGTTTGCCTGCATGGAAGAAGAGGCAGAACTGTGCATAAAAATTCCTGTACCTCATGTGGGCACCACCGCTGACCTGACAGAAGACAAGGATTTACCCATTTTTCTGTACCGGTGGTAGTCACGCCATGAAACATAACTAACTGTCACATTTGTTGTTATAGTGCTATTTTTGTGAATTATGCCCAGTTTGCATGTTAGAGGAAGACTGAATTAAGGGTATAATCCTGTTCCCACTGAAATTATCTACATTTCTAAATTTTGACAAATAAGATCTCCCAGATGGAGGAAGAAATATTTTATGTAACGTAGAGGACACTATTAGAAGGCGAAATCTTTAAGTCCTCACTCTGTTTTTATGCCAGCCAGTGCTCAAGTAAACTCCTATGAAAATCCATCAGACTTTGGGGTTTGACCCTTAAAATAGACTATGAAATTAATGGCCCATTTGAAATATTAGGATAAGTGCAGTTGACTTTAGGAAAATCCTTTAGTCTGAATACTAACATGCTTCATAGTGTTAGACTCAAGGAGCTCAATTTATTTAGTTTAACAAAGAGACGGTTTAGGGGTGACTTGATTACAGTCTATAAATATCTTCATGGGGAACAAATATTTAATAATGGTCTCTTCAGTCTAGCAGAGAAAGATATAACATGATGCAATGCTGGAAGTTGAAGCTAGACAAATCCAGATTGGAAATAAAGCATGCATTTTTAACAATGCAAGTAATTAAGTATTGGAACAATATACCAAACGTCATTGTGGATTCTCTATCACTGACAATTTTTAAATTGAGACTGGATGTTTTTACTAAAAGATCTGCTCTAGGAATTATTTTTGGGAAGTTAAATAGCTTGTGTTTTATGGGCAATCAGACTACATGATCACACTGGTCCCTTCTGGCCTTGGAATCTATGAATACAAGTTCAGGGTGGTTATTAAATCTAGTTGTTGCAGTGACAACATGTCATACTGATTTCAAATATTTTTTTTAAATTCAGGACAAAGATGGTTTGCATGAAGAATTTATTTACTGTGAAGGGGAGTTTGTTTACATGGTAGCTAAGCAGGACAATGCAAAGAATTGATCGGAGGAAAAGTAACTGGTACTGCAATTGTTTTGAATTAACAACTTGGCTTTAGTTTGACAGGCAAATCATGAATCTTGGAGTTAGATAATTAGCCCATTTAAAAAAACCCTTTCCTTTTAGTTGTATTTGAATAACTAGAATAGAGTTTTATGGACAGTAGATGGAGTTACTGATATGCTGTATATAAAGCTTATGGAATAGTAATACAAATCTTCAGCATTTTTGCTAGATGTTAATATTGAACCAGCATTTGAAAATGAGGGAATAGTTCAATATAAGTAGCTCTCGTAGTTTAATCACAATAAACCCTGATCCAGTATTTTTGAAGCCTTGCCCTTGTTGAGATAGAATATGAAATTAAGCATTCAGATCTGGAAACCCCAGTCTCGGGAGAATTTTGCTCTTTTGGAAAAGGCTCTCAGCACAATGGAACCATCTTATGTTGCTCGAATAAAAGGCATTTCTGGAAGGTATTTCAATGAAAATACGAAACAGTACAGGCCACATAGAGAAAGGGAGAGAGAGAGAGATAAGGAAGAATATGGTTGAAAAAATGTTGAAGAAACACTGGGCTAACCCCATTATTTTGTGCTAGGTTGGGTTAAGTAAACCTACAATAGAGAAACCTTTAAAAACTGATTAATGGATTACTATTAAAATGAAGTTGGCACCTGCTGACTTGCTGCATTTTTATATGTAAAACTGATTTCTGATTCTGCCTGATTCCAGAAGCAGCTTTTTAATATGTTTTTAAATAGAGACTTTACATTTCTTTTCATTGAGATTGATTAAACTGAATTTTGCTAGGTTTGTGTGGTCTCATAAAAAGTATTTTTGCTTTGGAAATCAGAGACTTTTAAATTTCTGCTGCATAGGGTAAGTGGTTGATGTAACTTCAGTGTGTAGATTAGCTTCTACTGTTAACATTTTTTTTTATTTCCAGTTGCTGGAATTATTACAGCTGATTTTGCCTCAGGCATGGTTCACTGGGGAGCTGATACCTGGGGTTCCGTTGATATCCCTGTCATTGGCAAGGTAAGGAGAAGTTGACTTGCATTCAATATGAGCAGTAGACCAGAAATAAATATTTTAATATGCTTTCTGAAGATAAAAAATTAGGAATGGTTGTGGGTGTCTTTCTGGTTTTATGCACCCATCCACCAGCAATACCTGGGAACCTTGACCAAAACTCTTGAGACAGTGTTCATTCTTTCTTATGTATTGAGAAATGGATCTCACTTAAACACTGAAGAAATTAACTTGTTTCAAAGAGAGTATTTTTCTGTGTACCCACCCAATAAGAATTAATTTTTTAATAAAGCGAATGCTGTAAAAGCATTTAGTGCTCAGGTTATCCACTGAACAAGTTTAATCTGTGACACATAAAATGCAGTTCAGAAAAGCTTTTGCATTAAATCTAGGTATTTCTACTGTGCCTATTACTATAGTATCGGAGCACCAAAGTAACTGTTTAATTTTTAGAAATGCTTATTAGTATCTTATACTGAGATATGTGGAAGGAGGGGTGTAATTGAGTGACTTTTGTGCAATTGTATAATATGTTCATTTAAAAAAAAATCAGCACTGGAAAAAAACAGATCTTATTAGAAACGTACAGTTTTGTGAAGTCTGCCGTTAGTGTCTGAACATCAGTGAAATAAGTTATTTCCTTGTGACAATGCCATATTTAGCACACTAATAAAAGAGGGGAAAGAAAGTGATCTTTGATACGCTAATTATTTTTGGTACTTGCATCAGAGTTTAGTAAATCAGCATGCTACATCTGCAGTGCTAACCAAACTAATCTAAAATACTGGCCTCCCTGTGGAGGTATAGAAATGTCATAGTCCATGGAGACTTGCACTGCATTTATGCAGGTCTGCCTTTTCTGTCATAGATTCAACAGACCTTCTCAGAGAAGATCTACAGTGCTTTAAACAACCTTAACATGGGGTTTAATGATATTAATGAATATCAGCCTTGTACTAAATAAATTTTTATCACTTGCTTTACCTACTACAGTAATTGCCTCAGTGCAGTGTAACACATTCAATCTGCCAGCTTGCTGTTAATCTCAAATGCATCTTTGACAAAAGAATCATCTTATCTTCGTGTCGTGTGTGTGTGTGTGTGTGTGTGTGTGTGTGTGTGTGTGTGTGTGTGTGTGTGTGTGTGTGTGTGCAGTTGCCAAATCTGGCACTTAATCAGGTCATTGAAATACTATATGTGAAGCTGTTTAGTAATATGAATGTAATAGGGTTGATGAGACCATTCGTATGATATACATTACAAAAGCTCCATCTTATCCTCACTTAATTTTGTATGTGGTATAGCATATATGCCTTCCTTTCACAAAACAAAATATTAATAGACATAAATGAGGCATGGGCTCAAAGTGGTGACATCTGAGGTATATACAGATAAATAAAGTGTAAGCATGTGTATGTGTGTTACACACAGGTACACACACTATTTAGAGATCAACAAGTTTGGTCATATATATGAGAGATATATTAGGTTTTGTGTGCATATTTATGTTTTCATTTTTCCATTCTGACTTCTGATCTGAATTTTTAATATATGAATGCTTCTAGTTTTCATTAAGAAAGAGTGGATTATTTTAAAGAACTAGTCTCAAAATTATTAATTGCAATTTAGCAACAGCCAAGAACAATATGTAACAATGTAACTAGCGGTGTTTTGTAATTAAAATAATTTTACTTTTTATTTAGCAGAAATGGTACAATTAAAATAATTATGGGTCTCCATCTAAAGTCAGTCCTGTCTAACATTATCTGGTGAATTTTTTAAATGCATATTATTTATTTATATTTAGCTACTTGGTAGCACTCACAGTATATTTTCCATTTGCAGTGCTGTAGCCGTGTTGGTAACCGGATATCAGAGAGACAGGCGGGTGGGTGAGACTAACTTCTGTTGGTGGAAGAGGCAAGTCCTTCAGACTTTGTGTTAACTACTTATGCTAAACAATCAGTTGCACCTTGTGTTTTGCTGTGACACTGAGTTCCTTTCCCAGACCTGAAGAAGAGCTCAGTGTAGCTTGAAAGCTTTTCTTTTTTTATCAGCAGAAGTTGGTCCAATAAAATATATTACCTCATCCACCTTGTCTCGCTAAGGTATTTTCCAGACATTCAAGAAGTTGAGAGAGATAAGATGTTTATATAAGTCAACTAGATTCATGATAGGAAGGATGGAAGAAGTGGGTCTTAATTCTGGACATGGAAGAGGCCCTTGCAGACTAGCTTAATGTACCTGCATAGATAGCTCCATGGCAGATGTCATGGAGGTCAGGTGACTTTGTGAGAATCAGATGGCTGGAGATGAGAAGGAATATTGATGGAGTGGATGGTCTGGGGGTAGTGCTAAACTTGATATAGGTGGATAACTAGGAATGGGAAGAGCCTTGAAATAGATTATGAGCTTATATCTGATGCAATAGTGAAGGAATTTCATACTGGGGAGTGACGTGCTCATCAGTTAGATCAAGGGAGATGACTTTAACAGCTGCGTTTTGTATGTATTGAAGGAGCAATGTGTGTATGATCAAGGCTAGAGAGAATGGCCAAGATTTTCAAAAGTGCAGAGCATTCACAGCTCCCCTTGAATTCAAGTCCCTAAAGTCCTTAGGCCAAGGTAAAATTGAATATTGAAGTCAGTGGGAGTGGTTGGGTATTTACCACTTTTGCAAAATCAATCTACTTATATTTTGAGTGTGTGTGTGTGTGTGTGTGTGTAATGTATACAATATCTCTGTTAAACTGAGAGGCAGTGTAATCAGGACACTGGATTGAGAGTCAGGTGAACTGGGTTTTATTTCTCTTTCTCCCACTGACTTATTATGTCTCTTTATCTCTCTGTGTCTCAGGGTATGTCTACACTACGAGAGTAGTTGGATTTTACTTAAAGCGAATTTGTGGAACTGATATTACAAAGTCGAACCTGTGTATCCGCACTAAGGACAGTAATTCGACTTTGTGAGTCCACACTAACGGGGCAAGTGTCGACATTGGAAGCGGTGCACTGTGGGCAGCTATCCCACAGTTCCCGCAGTCCCCGCTGCCCATTGGAATCCTGGGTCGAGCCCCCAATGCCTGCTGGGGCAAAAAATGTGTTGAGGGTGGTTTTGGGTAACTGTTGTCATTCAACCCTCACTCCCGTCCTCTCTTTGTGAAAGCGCCAGCGGGCAATCAGTTCGCGCACTTTTCTGGTGATTGACAGCGTGGATGCCACAGCACTGCGAGCATGGAGCCCGCTGTGATCATCGCTGCAGTTATGGCCGTTGTCAACACCTCGCACCTTATCATCCACATTTTTCAGAGGCAGATGCTGAGAACTCGGGCGAGGAGGCTACGGCAGCGC